AAAGATAAATAGTTACAATAAAATTTTATAATAAATAAATATACGTGTATATTAAAAAAGTTATACTTTTTTATCTTAAAAAAATTAACAAATAAAAATTGACAATAATTTTTTATATTTATATTTTTTCAAAAACTTCTTTGAATGTGAATAAATAGTAAGAATAATATTATTTAGATTCAATAGATTATAATTGTGCTTGTAATACATATGTTACATAAAAAAATATTATTTTAAATTAAAATATAAAAATAAAATTTAAATATTATTAATAAATAATAAGTTTACGATAATAGTAAGTAATTGTAAAATTTATAATATATTTATTATTTATCATTCACTTTATAATTTAAACATCAATATGATTTTATTAACAAAAATATTTGTGTAAAAAATATTTTATGTGTCATATATAAATAATATTTTAAAAAAAGTCAATCTCATATTAACTATGTAATAATTAAATTGTGTTAGCCTAATTAAATGATATAAAATAGTAAATAAATTTTTTTATTAAAAATATAAACTAAAATAAATTTTTTGGTTTACTTTATTATTAAATATATTTTTATATTAATATTATATAACTTCACATAAGTAATATAATAATACAAAAATTCAATGCATAATTATAGAATAAAGTTCAAGCATATATATATATATATATATATATATATATATATATATGCGGGTATGGGGCGGGGTGGGTACTTAGATACCCATACCCGCACCCATCCCCATTAAAATTTGCGGGTTTTTACCCATACCCATACCCATACCCGTATAGCGGGTAAATACCCTACCCATTGTGGGTAAATTTTGCGGGTGCCCATCGGGTACTTTACCCATTGCCATCCCTAATGAAATGTAATGCCTTAATGTCTAAAGAATGTCCCAAGTGAATATCAAGAAATAATGAACAATATATTTTACTCATATATGAAATTTTTTTATATACCTAGATAATGTACTCATCTTTTCGAAATAAATAAATCAACACATTTAGCACTTTAAGAAATTCATAGAATTAATTAAATAGAATGGGTTAGTAGTATCTTTTAAACAAAAATAAGATTTCTTGGTTATGATATTTATCAAAAAACCTTTATGCCAATACAAATATCATTAGAATTTACAAATGAATTTCCTAACAAAGTTAAAAATAAAAAAACAATTATAGGGATTTTTAGGATGTTTAAATTACATATTATATTTTTTGTCAAATATTAGGAAAATATGTGCACCTCTATATTCTAAACTTAGGAAAAACCCTCAGGCTTGAGATGAAGAGATGAGTGAAACCACAAAAAAGATTAAGACCACAGTCTAAACTATTCCTCGTCTAGGAATTTCATATCTAAATGCATCCTTAGTAGAGAAGACACAGATGCATTAGAGCTTGGTTATGGTGGAATTCTTAAATAGGTATATCCTCAATCTATAAAAAAGCAAGTGGTTAGGTATCTAACATTCTACCCAACAAAAATATTCTACTATTAAAAAATATATTTCATCAATTGTTTTGTATAAATAAATTTCAAGATAATTTGTTCAATAATTTTTTGAATAAAAACAAATTGCAAGGCAACTCCACAAGTTTTCCGAAAGGATATTAAAAAGATTGTTTCAAAACATATTTTTGTAAGGTGACAAATTTTATTATCCAACTTTGATTTTGATATTCAACATATCAAAGAAGAAAAAAAATGTTTTACTATATTTTCTTACCAAAGAATTTTTGTAGGAAAAGCAATATCTAGAATGGCAAAAGACCTATATGGTTTGCCTCTATCCACAAAATTAGATCCTACCAAAAAACTTCAACAAATAATGAGCGAGATAGATAATACAAACCCTACACAAAGTTAAAAAAGTATAATCTAAACTTTAAATAGATTCACCTCTTTACCATCAGATACTCCAACAAAGGAAGCATAACCAGAAGGTAACTTATCAAGAAAAATATTTTACAATACCCTTAATACTAATTAAACCAAAATGGTTTAGTTTACTATGACATGAAATACCAAAGATAATATTTCTTGAAGGGTTCCATTTTGTATCAGTTTATTATGCAAAAATGAGATAATATCATGCATTAATTCTATTAGATACACACTTTATAGAATTAACTCATCAACAAAATCCTAAAATATAAAAAATATTAAAAATAAAAATATTAAATATTTTGACAATATTAGATTAACAACAATTTCTCTATCAATCAAAGAGCTTTACAGTATAATATTAGTCACAATAACATAATTATTTTGATTACATTGATGCTTGAAGTAACATGTTTATGCGATCTTGATGTAATATATTTTAGGTTTACATTTATAGTTTTATTTTAACTAATAAACATTTTTCATATACTTTATTTTTATAATTTTACCATTTTTTACTTATTTGAATAAATTGAGTCTATTACAAATAAATGCTTTAATTTTATATTTTTGATTATTCTTACCTTTGGCTACTATTTCGCCCATAACTTTTTTTTTTATAAATATCATTTTTGGCTGATTCCAATTGCATTGGATTCTAAACATTTAGGACTTCAAAAAATATATATAGATTGCTGGATTTGGAGTTGTTTTCGATTTTTTATGATTTTTTGAAATTGAGGTAGATTTGCTAAATATTTTTGTGAGATTGCATTTGGACCTTATTATTTAATAATTGTATTTGAGCTTTTAATATTATTGAGACCCAAATTTTGGCCACTTAATATACCCTAATCAGAATCTATAAATAGACTAATAAGGTTATGAATAAGGGTATGAGGTGATAAAAACACTTTGAGATTTTGAGACTTGATCGAAATAAGAATCCTTGTTTTTACTTTCTCTCAAACTCTCTAGTTCTTTTCTCATTCTTGCGTGGGTTAAGTGTTTTAATGGAAGGCTAAACTTCTCGTTCAATCTGCAAAATTCAAACGCTGTAATTCTAACTTAAGTTCTGCGCTAAATTACTCTGAGTTTGTTCTCTTTTCTCTCTAATCTTAGAATTGTATATTGTGATCTTAATTGACTTTTCTGTTGTTAGAATTCAAATTAGGATTCGATTAATGTTCTAATTTGATAATTAATGCAAACTAGGTTAAATGATTATTTCATTTTATTTGTAACTCTATTCAATTAGGTTATTCAATTAAATTAATAATTGAATTGTGTGATTGTTCAAACGCAGATTTAAATCTTTAGATACTATGATAGCCAGAGTTATACGCAATTGGTATTATGTGGATTGATGTTTCTTAATTCATTTTTACTCACTTTAACTATGTCCGTAATTTAATTTGACGAATTTGCAATTTTCAAAACTCTAAAAACTTTATTTGCATTTTTTAAAAGAAAGCCCAAAATTGATAGTAACTCGGCATCGTCTATCAAATCTGCTACCCTTTCTTAATTCATTTAGGTCAATAAGGGAATTTTCTTAAAATTTCTAAAATAATTTATTAAATGGTTCTTTAAATTTGGACCAGTTCAATCTATTTTTTTTCCAAAAAAATATTCTCATAAATTTTTAATATTTTTACATTAAAGACGAATTTTGGTGAAGATTATTACCTTATCTTTTTCATGGCAAGCTAAAAAAATTACTTGGATTATTATGTGAGAATATGATTATGATAAATTGGTAAAAAATAAAATATACAATACTTAGTAGTAGTAATCAAAGTCAAATAGTGAGATAAATTTAATTTAACTTTAATTACTAAAAAAAAATTGACCGGTATTTATAATATTCAAGAATCAAAAAAGAAAGTTAAGCAATAACATCAATGACGGTTATCTCCTTCAATCAACAATGTTTATTTTTACAACAAATCAAAGATAATGCGGTAGCATTATCTCTCATAGGAACTGAAACATAATTTAATAAAATTTTATAATACAGTCTCAACATTCTCCCAAACCTCTCAAAAGAAAAATGAAGAAAAAATTCAAAGGAATCTAAAGATGATTGTCAAAATAATCTTTTTTTACTACAATAAAATTTAGTCATAACAACATCTATTAAACGATGTTTAACAAAAAAATAATAAAAGTTTGACAAAATAACAGAAAAATCTGTGAAAAAAAATAAATCTATCAATAATAATAATAAATAAATAAATAATAAGACAAAATAAAAAATTTACTACTAAAAATAAAAGTTATATAATAATTCAAATAAATATTTATAATTATGATAGTATACTTTTTGAATTATAAATTAATATTTTAAGTTGTGTCAGAGTATTCGAAACAAACTCTCTTATAATACCTGTAAAATTTTCTAAAGTCTAAATTTTTTATCTTTCTTACAAAAAATTGTATCAGCTTATAAAAATATAATAAAAGTCTTACATTATTTTACGAGATCTCAGAGTTCTTACTTTTACTCTATATTTTAATTATAGTATTTTATTTTCTGTTATATTTAATTCTTATTTCTATTATTTATTCTTATAACTTTCTTCCCATTATCGATACTTGTCTGTAGCATATTCCGAAAATAACTAACTTAATTGAAACGGAATTAAGATAATTACAAAAAATTTCACTCAGAAAGGTGGCAAAGCTTCTTTGACACGTTGACAACGACATGCACCCTTGCAAAAGTCACCTTGCCACGTGAACGCAAAACAACTCAATTGCGTGTTCTTTTTTGTCTCCAAATTTATTATTTCTTTAGCGCTTAAATACAAGTTTAGATAATTCAATTTTTTTTATTAATGCATTTTTTCGTTTTTTCCATTCTTGTTAATTTTATATAAACATTAAATAAGAAATAGAAATATTTATTTAATACTTTACTCAAATAATAAAAAATTAATAAAAAATTTCAAATATCTTTCACATGTACAAGAAGAGTTCAAGTCTTATTAAATTTAACTATATTAAATATTTGAAAAAGAAAGTTTTATCTTAAGATTAAATATCCTACCATTTTTTTAAAAAATTAATAAAAATATTGGAATAAAAATCAAGATTAAATATTTTATGCGTGAGTTTCACAGCAGAACTGTGGGTGTCAGTTCAAACATCGTTTCCTCTGAACAGCTCCAACCACACAGCGCACTGACAACAAAGCTCGCAAACGTCTTTCAAATTTCTCATCTTCCTTATTCCTAATGTCATCAGCAACAAAAGCTTCCTCGCCATCGCCAGCGGCTTCCGTCGTCTCTGCCGCCGCGCCCTACGACCGCGCTAAAGCCGTGAAAGAGTTCGACGAATCTAAGGTTGGAGTGAAGGGTTTGATGGACTCGGGAATCCAAACCATTCCCCCTTTCTTCGTTCACCCACCCGAAACCCTATTGGACCTCAAATCGAAACCGGAAGCCGAATCCGCGCCCGAAATCCCCACGGTCGACCTCTCCGCCTTGCAGGGCTCACGCGCCGCCGTCGTGGAAAAAATCCGGCGGGCCGCCAGCACGGTGGGGTTCTTCCAGGTGGTGAACCACGGCATCCCCGACGACCTTTTCCGGCGAACCCTCGCGGCGGTGAAGGCGTTTCACGAGCAGCCGCCGGAGGAGAGGTCGCGGGTGTACCGTAGGGAAATGGGACATGGCGTATCCTATATTTCCAACGTGGATCTCTTCCAATCAAAAGCTGCCAGCTGGCGCGACACTATTCAGGTTCCCAAACCACATTTTTTAACTAACAGACTAATAACTTATTTCGTTTGAGAAAAAGATTAGAGTAAAATTAATTAAAAATAAGTAAATTTTTAACTTGTTTAATATAAAAAAATTGAAACTAAAATAAGAATATTTTTTTTTCATATTATTTAATTTAGATTATGCCTTTAGATAAAAGTAAAAGTCTATATACTTTAATAACAACTTCCGTTAATAACAATATTAATATATTTAGATAAAAGTAAAAGTTTATATACTTTAATTTAAAAAAGAGATATAAAATAATTTTTTTGTTTTCTTTATTTTTTAATTTTTCATCACATTAAATAATAAAATAATATACGAAAGTTGCACATGAATTTTTATTTTTATTTTTTTCCATTCTAAAATAAAGGAAATACATTAAAAATTATAATTTTTTCTTAGCTTTTACTTTCTGGCTATTTTCCTTTTTGTTCGAATCAAAGCACAATTTTGATTCCAAAATGATAGATGTAAAGTGAAATATAATTTAATATATTTTATTATATTTTAAACATAAAAATTAGAATATTTTATAAAATTAACGATTATAAGAGTTATTTATGTAATTTCAATTTTATAAAATATTATTATTTTTAATAAGTCATTTTTACTGTACTTTTTTATTGTTAAAAGTTAAAGAAAAGAAATTTTATAATATTTTATCAAACGAAAGAATAAAATAGATCTTTTTTTTAATAAAATTAGTTTGATTAAAAATATAATTTTTAAAATTTTGTGATGTCTAAAATTTTAAAAATATAACATTTATTTATAAATTAGTTTTTATCGTTGATAGTATATAAATATTTTTTTATATTTTGATATTTATTATCTAATATTATTAAAATAAAATGTTTTAGTATAAACTAAATTGTAACATTTTTCTTAATGCAAAGATGAAATTAAAAGTACAGGAATAAATTTATAATTTAACTAGATTATTTAAATCTGACAATTGCATTATAGGTTAGTCTCTTTTTATTGGCTTTGATGATGCTGTCTTAGAACTTACTCAGTATTCTTAGTTTCACAATTATTTAAATTTAAAAAATAAAAATAAAGAAAGATGAATTTAGTTTTGAACAGATTAGGATGGGGCCGACCGCAGCGGATTGGAACGAGATTCCGGAGGTGTGTAGAGAAGAGGTGACGCAGTGGGACAAGGAAGTGGTGCGCGTGGCTGCGGTGTTGTATGAGTTGCTCAGCGAAGGGTTGGGATTGGGTGCGGAGAGGCTCACCGAGATGGGTTTGGTTGAAGGGAGAGTGATGGTGGGACATTATTACCCGTTTTGCCCTCAGCCTGATCTTACTGTGGGCCTTAATTCTCACGCGGATCCAGGGGCATTGACGGTATTACTGCAGGACCATATTGGAGGCTTGCAGGTTCAGACCAAACAAGGTTGGATCCATGTCAAGCCTCACCCTCAAGCTTTGGTCATCAACATTGGAGATTTGCTTCAGGTATCATCGTTTCATCTCTCAATAAGTACCTTTATTATTCCAATGTCGTGAAAAAGAGTGAGGTGACAGAGACTTTGGATGTGGACTAATGGTGAAAGTGGGTGGCAAAATGTATCAAAATTAATGCTGGTGGAATGCTATAAAATATTAAATTTTATTAATATAATTTTTTTTATTTTTTTTTGGTTTTTCGTAAACGGACCTGTTAGCACAAGCTCACTCTTAAAAGAGTTTGACAATAATAATAATAATTAGATACAAAGATAAGCATACAAACATTAGAATCATATAAAATTAATAATAAAAAAAAAGCTTCTATAGCATCATCAAGTAGCAAGATTATTTTTTTATATGTATAATATTTAAAATATAAAATTTTGGGGAAAATTACAGGAATAGAAAAACTCAAAAATTGACATCGGCGCTTTTTGGTGCAGAAATTTTAAAATTAAACAATAATAAAAGTTACGCATAAAAGTTGCTATTTACGATCTTTAAAAAATATCAAAAAGCTAAAAACATCATTGACGCCTTTTGAAAAAATAATAAAATTTTTAGAAGTATTTAAAGTTGTCATTAGCAATTTTTCACCAAAAATTGTTATTGACAATTTTTGAAAATTTCTCATATTAATTATATAAATAAATAAATGAGCCTCAAGTAGCATATTTGCTGACAGAATGTGTATAACTCTCCAAGGAGTTGGTTGAGTGGCATGAGACTGAGTCTCCACTTATCTTTTTGGGATGAGATTAATATAAGTTTTTCTTCTAAGTATTCTTTAGGAGTAAGGTGATTTTTGTTGTATGGCCTATTTGTATTTTGGGTTACAGGCTGAAATGGACGAAACAAATATCTAACACTTAGGATATATGTCATGATTTTTAGACAAAATTTTATAATTATTAACAATAATTATATGAGTTTTGCAACGAGGATTGGTGTACATAAAAAGTTTACTACATACAAATATTAACAATATTTCGTTTTGCCTTATATTCTGTTTGGATTTGTCTCAGATAATTTCTAATGAGGAATATAAGAGTGCTCATCATCGGGTGTTAGCCAACTATTCTAATGAGCCACGAGTCTCAGTTGCTTTTTTCCTGAACCCTAGTGAAAGAGAGAGGGTTTTTGGACCTTTGCCAGAGCTAACATCAGAAGAGAAACCAGCCCTTTATAGGAGTTTCACGTTCAATGAATTTATGACCAGATTCTTCAAGAAAGAATTGGATGGTAAATCCTTGACAAATTTCTTCAGGCAGTGATGCACACATAGCACCTGTTGCTGCTTTTGATACATGTGTTGTTAGAAACTTCATTTATGAAATAGGTTGATATGTATTTGTGCCACTACATTTAACAATTGTGAACAAAAGTGCTCCGTATTAATGATATCATACATGTTGTTCCTTCGTTTCATGACATCCTTATCATGTGCTGCTTTTTGGAATTACAAATTCTAAGCCAAAGTTGCATCAATAGCAAATCTTAATGCGCAAATTTAAGGATTTACGTGCTAACGTGTCAAGTTTGACAACAATGTTTTATGTTTGTGATTCAGCAAAAGTTAACAAATATCATAAAAGAAAAAAGAACAATTAGAAGTATCTAAGGAGTGATTAAAGAAAGAACATAATTAACGATGAATAAAACATGTGTATTAAATTGTTATTAATCACATAGGATGTGTTCATACTACTATATGAACATAGCTATAATAAATAAATCAAAACTAAAATCTGCTTTGGTAAATTCAAAATATGTATCTTCTGGGTTATCTACCCTCATTGAGTCACAATATTCATCAAAGAAATATTATTCCCATCAACAGGTCTATTGAATTTGCTGACATATTTCTTGACAGAATCCTTGTAATGTTTAATGGAAATAGAGTCTGAGTCCACTAAAATAAACTCATAGAATTGTCTGGTTTTATTTGCAGGCATAAGGTCTAAAATGAAAATCAGGTGGGAAAATTTTATAAATGGCTTTATAGGGATTTTTATCCCAAAATTCAGGCTCCATTTGTATGACTGAAGAGGGAAAATATAAAAGACTGAAAGGAAAGTAGGCAGTAGCAAGACTACTATATGAAGTGCAGAATGTAAAAGTGCAGAAATATAAATGTAAATTTAAAACATAGAAACTAGAACGGCGGTAGAACCAACATAGATTAGTAGAGGAAGAAGAGAAGAAAGCCGGACGACGGTAGTCCGAACAGAACCGGCTAAGAAGGAGAAGAGAGAAAATAAACTTGAAACAACAAATTTTTATTGAAAAATCTCAAAGAGAAAGGCTTACAAGGAAATTATCACTCGGAGCTTCTCTTTCTAAAACTCTTCTGAATTGTAAAATGAAAAGGTGCCTTACATCATGGTTGAGGACTCCTTTTAAAGGAAAAAATAAAAAACTGTTTCTACGGTTCCAGTTGATTACTGGAACTATTTACTACAGTTACAAATTAAAGTTCTTGAATATCAATACCGAAACATTCGTCTTCATTTTGATACTCATCTGCATTGGTATTTTGTTTTGTAGATGATTCACCTTCATCCTGACTTTGTAAGAGAAGAAGAACATCTTGTAAATTTTTCTTCATTTTTTCTTTTGAATCGCAACTTGATAAAAAAGCTGCAATTTTTGATTTCTGATTCAAAAATTGAAATGTTGCTGGATCTGCCAAATTTAATAATTTTGGATTTTTTTCAAAATATTCGGCAACATCAGATGGTCCGGCATGGTCAGCATTGAACTGATTCCACCATTTCACAAAGGAGTATCTGTAAAGTAGAGGAAGAGTTTCTTCATTTTTTATTTTGCCATATCTATATTGCCAGAGAATACCCATGCTAAAGCAAAATTTGAAAAATACTTGAGATCTGCTGGAATTCTTGATTCTCCCAGATCTGCCTTTGTATATCTTATATCCTTCTTTAACAGGTGTAGGAAGGATATCTTCAATTAGTCCAAAATAGTCCCATCATTAGAGAAACCAATTTGGAAAATCATAACTCTGATTTTTTTAAAAATATATTAACCAAGAATGTCGGTTAAGTTTATTCTGGAACCAGAAGCTTCTTGTCCATGCATCAATGTAATCACAGTAATTGTATCCTACTGGGTCAAAAGGTTGAGAAAACTTTTTATAAGAATTCAGATTTTTACCAAATGTCTTAGGGGTTAAGACTTTTAGGATTTGGATTGTGGAATGGGTTATGAAGGAAGGGTCTTTTTGATCATTGTAATGTTTAATGGAAACAGAGTCTGAGTCCACTAAAATAAACTCATAGAATTGTCTGATTTTATTTGCAGCATAAGGTCTAAAATGAAAACTAGGTGGGAAAACTCTAGAAATGACTTTATAGGGATTTTTATCCCAAAATTCAGGCTTCATTTGTATGACTGAAGAGAATTTCCCTTTTGCCATATAATGGTTAGGGTTTGAAGATTTCTGTTTATCTTTTTGAAGGTTGAGGGTATTTTCTGTTTTGTTTGGATTGCTGACTGTTTTTTGGGATTGGTTAAAAGACAGGATTATAGTGTTTAGGCTTGCTAAGTCTATTTCCATGTCTTTTTAGAGGCAATATCTGCCTAAGATTTCTTTGGTAAGCTACCTAAGCTTCCTTGTTGGATAGCTAAGAGAGTGCTAATTGGTAAAACATAATCTGCTTTAGTTTGTTTGGTTGTTTTGATAGAAGAATCAGCCTTTTTGGAGGATTCTTTTGGAGTTCCAGATTGTTGGGTTGATGACTCAACAATTTGGATTGCCTTTTGAGTTGATGACTCAATGGGGGTAGATGACCCAAAAGATACAGATTTTGAATCTGCCGAAGCAGATTTTGGTTTTGATTTATTTAGAGTAAGGGCAAGCCTCACTCTTCCTCCTCGGGAAGTCCCACCCCGAGATGGGGTTGTTGCCTTTCTAGGCATCTCACTTATCCTGTAAATATTCACGGGTAAGATAATCAAGAAGGGAATTAGAAGTGCCTTTGAGATATTCATATGTCAAAATAAAAAACACTTAAAATTGCTTGCCATCTTGTAAAAATATGTTTTGAGGCAAGATTTTTAACATCTTTTTGTAAAATTTATTTAGCAGACTTACAGTCTACTCTAATAAGAAATTTGTGATTTAATAAATCAGATTGAAATTTTGAAACGCATAAAACAATTGCTAAAACTTCTTTTTTAACAGTTGAATAATTCTGCTGTGCAGAATTCCAGTGTTTTGAAGTATATGCAATGATATGCTCATGCGACTCAACTCTTTGTTTGAGAATGCCACCATAACCTATGTCAGAGGCATCTGTTTCAACAATTTTGAAGGCTTGAGGAAAAAGGAGATAAAGACAACTTATCTTTCTGACTCTATTTTTAATTTCCTTGACAACATTGGTATGAACATCGGTCCAAGAAGGAGGATTCTTTTTAAGCCTATCATGTAAAGGCTTAACAATATTGTTGAGGTATGTAATAAAATCATTTACATAATTTAGACATCCCAAAAACCTTTATAACTGAGTTTTATCAAGGATTCTGTTAGAAAATTTGTCAGCAAATTCAATGGACCTGCTGATGGACATGATAGTTCCTTGATGAATATTGTGACCAAGGAATCTAATATTGGTTTGAAAGAGATTAATTTTAGACTTGGAAATAGCAAGTTCATTATGTTTGATAACATTGACAAAAACATTTATATGTTTAAAATGTTGTTCAATGGAATGGGAAAAGATTAAAACATCGTTAATATAGACAATGATAAATTTTGAATAAGGATTAAAAATATCATTCATAATCTTCTGAAACTCAGAAGGGGCATTTTTTAAGCCAAAGGGCATAACATTTCATTCGTAATGCCCAAAGGGAACAATGAAGGCAGTCTTATACCTATCATTCTCACAGATTTGGATTTGCCAAAATCCAGATTTCATGTCAAATTTTGAAAAGATCTTAGCATAATTTAATCTATTAAGAAGATCTTTTTTATTGGGAATAAGAGGGCTTGGTTAAGAGGTTTGTAGTTGATAACTAATCTGGGAGTGCCTCTTTCTAATTCTGCAGGTTTATTGACATAAAAAGCAGAGTACGACCAATGACTCTTACTTTTCCTAATGAGTTTTTTGTTTAAGAGATGTTTGATCTCTTTTTGGCAATATTGAAGGAGTTCTTCATTCATTTGAATAGGCCTAACTTTGGTAGGGATTTGGCTATCCTTAAAATCTGACTCATAAGGAAGACTAACAATATGTTTCTTCCTATTCTAGAATGCGTTAGGCAAGTCAGAACAAATAGAAGATTGAATATCTTCAAGAAGGGATTGGATCTTCTTCTAAAGTAAAGGATTTTTCAATTGTTTCCCAATGTTGGCAGAAGAAATTTCTTCTTTCAGAAAATTGATTTGATTAATTTTGCTTTGAATAGAATTGATATTTTTAGTAAAAGATTTACTAGAAAATTTGAAGGTTATTTGTTTTGCTAAATGATAAGTAGAAATACCTTCTTTCAAAATCTGTAATGGGAAAAGAGCTTTAATAAAAAGTGTTCCCAAAATTACTTCTTTTTTCAAATTTTTCACAAGGAGAAAGTTTGTTTCAATCTTAAACCCTTGATTTTCTATAACAGCTTTGGATAACTTATAATTGATTTTGAGCTTCGAACCACTAGCAATGTTGAGTTTTTCAGAAGTCTTTTCAAAATACTTTGTAGGGACTAATCCTTCTAAAATATAATTTGAATCAGCACCTGTATCAAAGAGGGCTAAAGTATCAAGAACAAAATCATCAATAATGATTCAGATGTTAATATAAAATTTTTGAATTTTGACCTTGTTGATCAAACACATAAAAGTATCTTCCAGATCATCAGAATTGACCTTTTCAGAATCATTCTCTTCAAGAAGTTTTTCTTTCTCAATATCAAATTTATCATCTAGTTGGGAAAGAATAACTTGATGAATTTGTTGTTGTTCTTTAATCTCTCTAATCTCTTTCTTGAGGTTGTTAATCTCAATCTGGAGATCATGAATAGTGGTTGGTTTGATATTAGATTCTTTTCTAATCTTTTGAAAATATTTGTTATGTCAAATTTATTTGTAGTAAAATATTCTCTGGGTTTAGGTTTTAATTCTAAAACCTCTTTAAATTTGTTCAAAAATTCTTTCCTTTCTTGAAGATCAGAAATAGAACTTATTGCTTCAATAAGAAGATCTTGTTCTTTTGTTAAAACATTAGTTTCTAGAGTATCATCACTATCAGAAGAAGAGATTTGATCATAATTTTGGATTTGGTTGACATCCTCATCGGATTCTTTGACAGAATCTTCTTCAGAAGATTCAATAAGGAGGTTGTTGATTTGATCTTCAACAGAAGGATCAAGGTTAAGGTTGTTACTTTTCTTCTTCAGCCTACAATATTTGCTGATATGGCCGAGTTTACCACAGTTGTAACATGTTACACCTGTTCTGGGTTTTTT